TTATCATTATTACCAGGGAACTGTAAAAGAGCTGGAGACAAAAAACGTGAATGCAATGAAATGCAATTCACGGTAGTAGTACTCGTGGTAAAACTCAGACTAGACTGATAGGCTGTCTTCACATACCAATATGCATCGCTGCTGAAAAAGAAATCCCCATCTGCAAAGCAGCTAGAAATGATAGGCTTCTGACTTCTTCCTCAGATAAAAAGAGGTTCAAAGGCTTGTCAGTACTGAGCTACAGAGGCAGCTCTTGTGTATCTGACAGGATCTGTGTGATGGGGGTTGGGGGGGAGGTAGATGAGAGAGAGGAAAGATTAGGCAGAGGAAAGGCATGAGGCAGTCAGGCAAAGAGAGATTGAAACACAAATCGATTGAATGACAAGTGATTTGGAAACAGGTACAGATGAGGAGACAGGGGAAGTGAAGGGAAGCAGAAGTTGTGGAACAAATGAGCAGGAAGGATCAAAGGAAACAACAGGCAGAAGGAAGCAAAGGTACCAACAAAATGAATGAAGATAGGACAAGAGCGGGGTTGGGGTGGTGGGGAGCAAGGAAAGTTAAATCTTAATTTGCAGTGGAGTATATCACGGTTGGCAAAACAAGAGGTAAATGCTCTCTGTCTTGCTTGCCAGGGAGAATGTTTGACACAGGTGTTTGCCGCCTTTGCAAGGATGGCCAAGAAGTTATCCTGGGGGTGTACTGAGGCTGAGCTCAGCTGGAGTGAATGACTATCAGAGACTTCATCAGGGAAGCAAACTCAGCGAGCATCTCTCTATTTCAGGGATTGGACTGATCTCAGAAACAAGGTATGATAGGAGCCCTTTAGTTGTTTTTTTTTGGGGGGGTTGGTTTATTTGAACCTCGAAACAATGGGTGTTTTGATTTCTTCTTCATGCACACCTGATTCTCACAGAAAATACCCAAAGAAACTGAAACATGAAACCAAACTCATCAGGCAGATGGTGAAGGCTGACAGTTTTTTTTTTTTTCCTTTTACAGTTAATTAAGTTCGCAAAGACAGGGAGACTAATGAGGGCTTTGCTCTCTTAAAAAAATAGCCTTAAGAAATTTGAAATTTCCTCATGCAGCAACTATCCTGTCATGTTTCATCCTTATTATGTGACTGTGTAACTGTTACGTTAAAGAAGACTGATGCCAAAACTCTCTATTTTAGAGGGGAAAATGGTTTCATGAGGAAGCATTACACACACAAACACACACACACACACACACACTTTTTATTAAAGACAGTGGTCCACCTGAGTGGCTTCTATCAGCCCTGGCCACCATTAGCTCATTTGGCCAGAGTCTGGTGGGTTAAACTCATCAGATGCTTTACCTATTGTGTCACCACACTCCCTATGCTGAAACAGTCCCACTGCATTCTTAAACACAAGGGGATACTTGGAGAGAGCTACTGGGTGGCACATGTATCATCCACGAATGCTCAGCCTAGTTTTGGAAGCTCTACTAATGCAATAGGAAGATTTTTAACTTTTGAGTTCTTATGAAATGCTTCACTGAAATTTCCTCTACTCCTTCATCCCACCCTTTCTCCCACTTTAAGAAGGAGGAACAAGCCACCTTACAATTCCTCACATGGAAGACTGGCTGTTTTATCCCTTCTGGAAGGTCCACCCTTTAGCCCAACCTGAATGCTGGTTACCTTCAGCCTGCACAGGTACGTTGTTAATGTCCACCATCCCAACTCCTGAATACTTACAAAGTGGAAGCATATTTCATGCTAAAGGTAGACCTAGCCTCCTGGCTCTGAACCAACTGACCTCTGCAGATGAGAGGGTCCAGACCTGGCTCTAAATTTTATGACTGGCCCTTATATCTATAACATGGACTGATCCGAAACTTTAACCCTGAGCACTAATATACAATAAGAGAGATCAGCTGACCTTTGTCATTGGATCATAGGAAAATCAGGCTGGAAGAGACCTCATGAGGTCATGTAGTCCTGTGTTTCCCAACTTTTTCCAGCCCAAGGCATACCTACATGAATAAAATTCTCTGAAAAACACCTGTTAAGGCATTCCCCAGCCCCATACTTACAAACTCATTGTAGCTCATTGCCATGACACAGCTGTTCATAGCCTCACAAACTGTGCATCCCCCACAGCCAACACATGTGCAGTAGATGAATTTCCTTCTGCTTGGCTGGTTCTCCCTCTCCCCCACAGCCAACACATGTGCAAGTCTTCTGTGAATATCTCATCACTGAGGCTTATTCGTTAGCACTGGGCAGGCACACATGATCACTACATTGCCGTAGTGTGTTGCATGGCAAAGTAGTATGCTGCTACGTCACCAGAGGGCAAGGTGTAGCTGCGCCCTGCTTGTTTTGTATTTTATACATGTGGAACTCCAATTTTTCCTAGACTGTAGAGGAATCTAAAGCAGCAGGATGGGAGGCATTTCAGTATTTAATGCCATCGATATTTAATGCCTTAAATATGCCAATGACAGTTTCATATTTGAAGAATGAAAAGAAACTTGTATTTCTGTCCATCGCAGGCTGTCAGAAGATCGAGTCCAGTGTCTGCAAGCTTGATAAGCAAGTTTGCCACAACATTTTAACCATTATTAATATTATATAACTCAATATGAATGAGTAAGCTTTTAAAAATAAGTATATAGGATTCAAAAACCCTGTTCAAGTCAATGAAAAGATACCCATTTTCCCCCGGCGGTTTCTGAATTAAACACATTCAGGTAGTTATTTTGCATTATTTCATTGGTATGAGATTTCACAAAAATTAGTATGATTGCACGGGGATGGTGGGTCACCCTAAGTGACTCCAATGACATCTTTGTTCAGCATCCCATCATCATCCATTGTATATACCATTTTAACAGAAAACTGTATTTTGCACTTATTTCAGGAAGCCTTTAACTGTTTCTGATTTTTTTTTCTTCATTTGTTGCCCTGTAAAGACTTAAGGCAAACTATTTTGAAGGGAAGAAAAAGAAGACTTTTGAAAACTTCAGAGAAGCTGTCTAGAATAGCCTATTTATAAAAATTCACAGCTCTATACCGATCTCTTGGCATCCTCCAGTGCTAAAAGCAAGTCAATTGTTGTGCATCCCACTGGAAAATTTGCTAATCTTCTTTTGTAAAATGTAGAAAACTCTAATTCTAGCCATGCAGGGTTGCTACAGCAGAGACTTCAAACAGGTCCTTGTTCGAAGTCTGAATATTCTCCATACTGCACCACAGTCTGATTATGTTAGTGGAGATTTCATGCTCTGGAGGACAGAAGAAAAGTTTTAGTGATAGGTTTACTTTCCTGGGAGGTGCTCAGTGATTTATAATGCTGGAAGCCATCCTAGTAGCAACTGAATGTGGGAGGAGTATCATAGAATCATAGAAAAAGGTGAATTGGTTAAAGGAGCTTGAGAAATGTCATTTATCAGATGGCTTCCCATTTTGTCACATGGATCACCAGCACATTATAGCTGGGGCTAAACGGGGCCTCAGTCCAAATCTAGGCACTATGGAAATATGACTAAACTAATCCAGAGTAATAATTAGTGTCATTCACCTTTCCAGGGACATGATTTACAGACTTTATTTCACAATGTTAATTTGCATTATTGTTGTTGTGGTTGTTACATGCATTTTTTCCACTCTTCCAAAGAATAAAAAGCAGTCACAGAGGAAAAAAATATAGAATTACAGGCAATCTTTAGTCACTCAGGCTAAGTACAGACAGTCAAAAAGCCCAAGGCTAAATCGATTCAATCTTTGCAGGTTAGTCTAAACTGCAAAGATTGAACCGATAAGCAAGTGAACAGACATTCACTTTTGATTCCAGAAATGCAGCCACATGCCTGCAGTGTGGCTCAATCCAGGAGCCGGGGGGGGGGGACGGGGGGGGACTAGAGCACACCTCCCAGCTCTGCTGCAGTAGACAGCTTGGGCCAAGGCTAGACTGACCACCCTAGTGGGGGGTGGGGGGTGTTGCGAATGAGGTACAATGCATCCTGGGCTGCTGGAGGAATATGAATTCATTTGAATCTGGGACAGACATTCAATAAACCAATTTCACCTAAATCAGTTAAGTCTGATACTGCATCCATGCAGGTTTATCTTTAACTGGTTTTGGCCATTTTGAAAGCAGTTTATGTGCACTGAAGTTCTGTCGTGTTACAGATCTGAACCAGTTTCTGATCACTTACATTGGTTTATGTGCAATTTCTGTCCCTAGCCTATGTGATATGGTGAAATCTAGTGTACTAGTACACTCTTAAAATCTTCTACAAAGCATGATTCACTAACAGAATACTTAACCTTAGCTTATTAAAACTTAAGTATATTATAAGTACATGCAGTATATAGGGAGGGAGGGAGGCAAAAGATCAGCCTCTCTGCTCAGAGTAGGAACAAGAGGACGGTCAGCCTGCAGAAGGCTGCCAACCTTTGATATGCAATGTTCATACTGTTTAATTCTTAAGCAACCTCCTATTTTTAAAAATCACATAAGAAACCTTATCTTATTTCCAGTGAAGCTTATGGCAAAGTATTTATGTGTCCATACATACTCATGGGCATGGACTGTTAGATTTTAAGGTCAAACAGGACATATTAGGTCTTCTTTTCTGACTTCCTTTATAACAGGATACATAGAATTGTATCCAGCTACTCGTATATTGAGCTCAATGATTTGTGTTTGAATACAGCATGTCTCCTAGGAAGGCACAGCCTTAACACGAAGAGCTTAAGAGGCAGAATCCACTTATGACCTTCATAGTTTGTTCCAGTAGATAGCATTAAGAATCTGTCCTTGTTGCTTGTTATGTTTAATGATATTTTCAAATAAAACCCAGAAAAAATAATGAAACTCTGTAAGATGAGGAAAGAGCTTGATGGAACTTGGTAAATTTTCATCCTCAAATTATGGTAGATGCTAAATATACACCATGACATGGTTCCACATTGAAACATTAAACACTTGCTTTTCTGCCTTTCTTTTTTTTAGACTCTCATTAAAATAACTGGCATATGGAGGAGCAAAATAAATAAATGTCCAAGAACTTGGAAGCCAAAAAAATGCACCGTTCACAGGTGACTCAAGGGGAGAAAACGCACATGTACAACGGCAGTTTTCGTGACAATGGAACAGAGTACCAGCTAGTTTAGACTTACAGAGGTCTGGAGGGGTTGCAGCTTTTTGTGCATAGAAATAAGTAATAGGTAAGTCTGACAACAATGCATTTCATTTATAGACTCTCTCATGGTGCTTTGGTACCCAACAGTTTCCCATACTCATCTTACTACAACCCTTGTACCAGAGAAGGTGGGGGAAGTTAATGCAGCACATTAAAAAAAATGTCTGCATTGGTACAATGATATTCCCCACTGCCTGAAAAGTCTTTGCTTAGAGAATAAGGTTGTCTGGGATCCAGGAGACAGAGCCATTCCGGAAGCCCGCTGCTTTAAGAGAATGTGGTAACCATGCTATAGCCACACACGGTCCTCTTTAGAGCCCCGTGGCTACATCATTTATTGTAGAGGACAGCAGCGTTGTTAGGTCCTGGGGCAGGAATTGTCTCTTCACGTGTGCCGTGGCAGCACTTAGTGCAGCAGTCTCACCTGGGGCTTGTAGGCATGACAGCAATGCAAATAAAAATAATGAGGCCCCAGTCCTGCTGCGCTGATGCCCATGGACATCGTGCTATTGACTTGGAAATGGGTCAGCGCCCTGGTGAGAATTATAACCGTTTTCTTATAAGGCAATTCTGACAACCCAATAATACGCCAAGCATGGAAAGTGCAGGCTTGCTTGCATAATGGAATATCAGGGCAAGGCATATATACAATAATTATTTAACAAAAAATAGCAGCACAAAAATAGGCTGGATTGTAAATGGGCTACATAAAATTAACTGACCCAGGTCCTATTGAGAGGGTATGCTCTGAATATTTCTAGCTATATTTACAGAAGAACTCTTGTTTCTCATCCTCCAGGCTTTAAAGTTATTACCCCACTCATTATGCCAAATATATTTTGTATAAGAGATAACATAAACCATCCTTTGTTTAAGCAGATTACTAGAATTAAATACTACATTTCAACAGAATTTAAAAGGGGCACCAAAGCAAGATAATACTTCCACCTATGTGGTGAGGAATCATTAAATTCTGCCTATGAAATAGCTATAGATTCCAGCTTAAAATGTACAGATCATTAGGAGTTGACAGCAGCAGCCTTTAGAAATGATCCAACAGGGTTTAATGTGAAAATAATTTGTGTAGCTAGCTATTACTCTGTACATCAAGCACTCAGGTTTTAGTTCTGTTGGGTGATTAAAAACATATCTAAACTAAGGTGCCAGATTTACTGTAATAAGTTCTCATTATTGTGTCACAGCACTGGTCTATACAACATATTTTCAAGGAAGGAGATAAGCCCCATAAAAGCATATTTGTGGTTTGCAGAGAAAATAATTCTCTCCAGGTAGAAGTGTCACTTTCTTCCAATGATCCATATTATGAAAAGGTAACATTTGGAATATAACCTGGTTGTCTTGACAAATGGGATCCATTACTGAACGGTGTGAGTTATGAGTGTGAATTAAATACAAAGAGGCCAGAAGGTAGCTGAAAGCCTATAAGAAATATGTTTCTACGGCCCAAATCTGGTTGTCCTAGCTGGTTAATAACAGCGGCAGGCTCTTTAGGGCATGCCTCCCAGAATCTGTGCAGACGATCCCAGCTTCCTCCCCCTTCATGAACAGGAAGGATTCAAGTAAAGCAGCAGCAGTGGTGTCACTGGTCCTCATTACACTATACCCAATGCAAGGCCTTTTGTATAAAAACTACCCATGCATCTGCTGCTGTCAGCAACAGAGCAGCTGAGTGTTGTCATAGATGTCCTCTAAAGAAGGAGAATTGCTTTCACATACACTGCTGCACGCTCAGTTACAAGCTTGCCTTTCTGCAGACCAGGGCCGGACACAGGCATGGGCAAAATGGGCATCCGCCTGGGGCCCGGACAGAAAGGGGACCTGAAAATGGTGAAAATAATGATTATTATTATCATTATCTCTGGTGAAGGGGAGCCCAATACTAAAAGTTTTCCCAGGGCTGCTAGGAGTCTAGGTACAGCGCTGCTGCAAACACCCCCAAAATGTGCTGTGAAAAATCTGCTGCTGTGCAGAAGTGCTAAACCGCGGAGCCTGCCCGCCTCTCCCACGCCTGGGGGCTGAGCTGCTGGCATGGACCAGGTAAGGAAGGGCAAAAGGTATCCCTGTGAGTTTTTCAGTTGTTACTGCTGTGGGTGGAAAACTGAGGGCAGAATTTTGCTCTCAGCTTAACTCTGACGGACCCTTTCTTGCTTGGGGGTTATTTGTTTTATAAGCACCTAGATCTAAAACTCTGCACTCTCCAGTTCAAGTGACTTCCTATATTCATGTATTGATTTATTTCCACCTCTGGCTCATTTGTTCCAGCTTCTATAGCAGCTCATCCTCTTGCCACAGTAAATTTTAGTCGTCTTGGAGTAAAATGTACCTACTCCTTGCCAAGTGCTGATAGAAAAGTCCTTTGCTATTCTATATCCAAACTTAGCCTCGCTCATCTATGAGAGTGGCTTTCATCCTCTGTTGTCTGATGGGCTGTGACAATTTCCTTCGCATTTCAGGTTATGAACTGCAGTGCACGTGGTATCCAGAAATAGCCTGACTGCCTTCCAGCAAAATGTCATTGCCCTGATAAAACTAATAAAAATCCCAATAGAGGTCTCTCCACTGTAGATTCTACCTCACACTTAAGGTGAATGTACATCCGAGGTTGTAGGAACACCCATCTGTTCAACCTACATCATGCCAGTATTGAAGGGTATTAAATTACTCGGACAATCTAATTTCAGTAATTTATGGTGCTAGTGGCCATCAATAAGAAATGTGCTGGAGTCAACATGAAAGAAAGAAGACAATGCTAAGGTCAGCCATGTGATATCCTCCTTCGTAAGGTGTATGTGCTACAGTGCTCATTGGTATCTTGTACCTCTCTTAGCCGGGTGATAAATATTTGAACCAATCACTTTATGTTGTTTTTTTCTGTGGAAAGCAAAATCAATCTTGAAGATGGGCTTTGACCTGGAGCCTATATCCAGGTCGGCCTGCTTCTTACATTTCAAACGAATAAAAATTTAAAGACAGCAGACCAAATCCTTCTTTTGGTGATGGTGGTATAAAGGTAGAATGACTCCATTAAAGTCGGTTACATTACTCTGGAATTGAGCCAGCGTAACCAAGAAGAGTTTTTGCCCTGTTTAAAGAATAAATGGTATATCTAATTCATTTTGCAATGGTATAACTTTAAAGAGGAGAGTCTAAACCTAGACAACATAAAAAAAGCTTACAGGAAAAGCTTTTAGGAAAGCTTACAGACCCATCTCAAGCGGGCTGAGCATGGAGACCGGACTTCTCAGTCTGCCTCTGCTATTCATTTACTGTCAACCTCATGTCTCTTAGCTTCAGGTTTCTCATCTGTTCACAGAAATACAGATGGACTGTAGAGCTTAATTAGTTCATATTTGTACAATGACACATCACAGCTGCTGGGAAAACAGGACTCTTAGCAGACTGTTGTGCTTGGATTACACCTATATGATCTAAGCTCCCTGAATATGAATGGGCTGTGGCACCCTGGTTGGTCTCTTTGGCTCACTTCTGGGCACAGAAATGCCTCGGTGGAAATAGCACTCTATATTCCAGCCAACCTAAGCCTGGTGAACCTTTGCTGAAATCCTGTAGACGTCCAGGGTACTTATACACGTGATGACATGGCCATGTACACATGACAAAAAGTGACAAGAAATCACCATTAGACTAGAATAATGTCATCACCATGTACACGTGCACAATGTTTTTTTTTGAGCGTGGCAACTTAGATCACCTCCGTTGTATTTTAGTTTGGTCATGGCAAATTGTCCCATTATGGACAAAGAAAATCTGTCCTATGTACATGTCTGGGAAGGCAGCAGGAGGGCGGCTGGGTGTGCTGGTAGCTGGAGAAAGCAGCAGGGATGGTGCACGGGATGCTGGAAACCTGGGCAGGCTGGTGGAAGCTGAGGCTGTGGGTCCTTTACTAAATGGGGGACGTAGCCTAGTGACAGAGGATGCAGAAAAGGCTGAAGTGCTCAGTGCCTTTTTCATTTCAGTCTTCACAGGCTAGGTCAGCTCCCAGACTACCGCACCAGGCAGCACAGTTTGGGGAGCAGGTGACTGGCCAACTGTGGCAAAACAGGTTAGGGACTATGTAGAAAAGCTGTACATGTGCAAGGCCATGGGGCCAGATGGGATGCAACCAAGTGTGCTGAAGGAGTTGGCCAATGTGATTGCAGAGCCATTGGCCATCATCTTTGAAAACTCATGGTGACTGGGAGAGGTGCCAGACAATTGGAAAAGGGGAAATATAGTGCCTGCCTTTAAGAAAGGGAAGGAGGAAGATCCAGGGCACTACAGACCAGTGGGCCTCACCTGAGCTGCTGGAAAAATCATGGACTAGATCCTGAAGGAATCCATCTCTGAGCACTTGGAGGTGAAGAAGGTGATTAGGAACAGTCAGCATGGGTTCCCCAAGGGCAAGTCATGCCTGACCAACCTGATTACAAGTGACCAGCACGGTCACATATTGCTATGCTCCTTCTTTTTTGTCACATTTTCCTGGTGGACACATTTGCCATGGAAATACAACAAAATTGCTACCCTGGCACTACTTTGTAGCATCGTGTTTGCAATGTCATAAAACATTTATGATTAACACTTGATTTTTATATGGTCATTAAGTGAAAGGAACACACTGCCAGTGAAGAGAGCAAATACATATTTTAGTAACATTGCAGTTTGACCCACCGTGGTTTGCCATTCTCAGCTCAAAGTTTAAAATGAGACTAAAACTCACAAAGCACTTTTATCTCCTTCCAGTTAGGAATTGTCATTGCTTTAGTTTTAATGTTTATGCAATGAAAAATGGACATCAGTGTGTAGGGGGATATGGGAAATGGGCAGCCTTAAATTTCAGTGTCACCTGTGCAATGATTTCTTTCAGATAACCTTAATTTAACCAAATACTTATGCATGTATTCAAGCTTCATTGGCTCCACATAATTTTAATCATGTGCTTAAAAGAGCAGGGCCAACACTAGCTGATTAAAAAAAAGTCATGAGACAAGTCATCCATAATTAGAAGACTGGCTTAGAAATCAAATAAATTTTAAAAATTGGGCGGACTTTTTATTTGCTTTGTGATTACAGATCATGTAGAGCAGGGGTGGGCAATTATTTTGGGCAAAGGGCCGCTTACTGAGTTTTGGCAAGCCATCGAGGGCCACATGACAGGCAGCCCAGGGCAGATTAATATTAATGTTCTAAATTTTTTACTGGCCCCATGGCCTGGATAGAATGGCCTGGTGGGCCGCATCCGGCCCCCGGGCTGCATTTTGCCCACCCTTGATGTAGAGTGCACTCAAGTCAGAGTCTCAGTCTTTTGTCCGCAACCAGAAAGGCTTTTAAATAATAACCTGCTTCCAGAAATGGGGATTTCATGGACAAAGTCTCCAATTTTTAGAAATGGCCAAATCTCATCAGAGTTCGGTTTCATCTCATTGAGAAATGCGTAAACTTTCATAGATGGCAGCCTGCTTCATCAGATGCTACAAATGGACTTGCAGAGAGCAGGCCTGGAAGACAGTGAAGGTTGGAAACACTGTTTTAAATGTGTGCGTTGTTGCATCAAAGCCTTGAAGCATGAAATCCATTGAATAATGCTAAGTTGCTGTAACCAAGATGACCCTTCTTGGCAGGACAGCTGGAATTTTAAATCTCTTGGGCTAGAGCTATTTTGTTAGCAACACCAAATTTTATCTTTTCAAAGAGATCTCCAGGGGAAGTACTTGGCCATCTACACCATTCATCATAAATTCTGGAAATTTAGGAAGTAGACCATTTTATTCCAGCGTTGAAACATTTTTCTAAGTTTCCGGTCTGATTGAATGTTGACAGCGGAGTGCGGGAACCGCTGGAACATGAAATAACCTCTCAAGAGAAAAATGCTTGTGGGCTCTACTAAAATAATCAGATTTTAAATTCATGCCCAATCTTTTCTCTGAATTACCATAACTGCATTGCCTCGGGTTTAAAGATTAACGGCTACAAAGTAATAGGGGCAGACGGCTGGTACTGTGTGGGAAACGCTGGTCTCATTCATAATGGTGAAAATTTACAGAGGCTGTAATGCACTGGCTCATAACTTATTGAGAGCAGAATCTGATCCCTGTCAAACGTGCCTGGGGTTCTGTTCTCCAAGGCAATGAGCTTTCTGGCCGTAATTTAGTAAAGCACGTAGACATATGCTTCACGCGGATGATGTGCGTAGATCTACTGACACAATCTGAGAGCATGTGCTGGAATGCTTTGCTGGATCCAGGCTATAAGGCTTGCAATCCTGGGTCCTTAACAACCCATGGGCAATGTATCCAAGGGCCAATTATTGACTATTTCAGGCAGATATTTCATTTGTTGCCTCTCTGATGGCAAATTGCCTGTTAATTGTGTCCAGTGCCTGCTTCTTGTCAAGATTAGCCAGGTATTTGCATTGCTACAAACACCTCACCGGCTGCCTCAAACCAGCTAGAAGACTGGGAAGGGGAGTTAAATCCTAGGCAGATTCATACCCATCTGTCTGGCCTGTCTTCTGGAATAATTCATCTGTAATTTGCAGAAATACAGCCTAAAACTTCCCTCAGTGCTCACATAAGCCAAACCCTCCATAGCAGCCAGTGGGAGCTTTGCCTTAGCGAGGACTGCAAGACTTGGCCCATTTCCAAAGGGTGACGGAAGCAAGGTATCAAAATGTCATTGAAATGAAGTGTGAGTTTTAAGCCTAGTTCCCTGGGGCCTTCTGTGTTATCCCAGACACACTTTTTTGCTGTTTTCTAACTGTACCCTTAAGGACAATGTGTTTTGTTTCTTGTGGCTCTTCTCTCCCCCAAAGCCCATGGCCAGACTCCCTACATCTATCTTGTTGCTCATCCTCCACCTGATCACTGCGGGACACTGCCAGTAGTCCCTTATCTCTCACGCTCCCACTCCTTTGGGCTGCAGCAGAAGAGATACAAGAACAAAGGGAAGGACTGCATAGTAAAGATAGAGAATGAAAGACTACGGAGCCTTTAAAGAGGAAAGGAATAAATATCATGACATAAAGGAAAACAAGGATAAGGAAATACTGACATTGCAGAAGTCAGGTTTGGCCATTGGCTTCAGCGGAGTCTCATTTCGCCCTGTAATAATTCTGCACTGAATAGTCAGCCCTATATGATCATCTATAAGCATTAGTTTTAATTGTGTTTCCTAGAGAGTTTGTGGGGACGCAAAGCTGAATTCAGAGATACAAAACTCTATGCCAGTAGGCACTTAAAACAAGAAAGGCCTGATTCTCATTTACACAGTACAAAGTGGCCTGAATATCACTGTCAGAGCCGTGTAAAAGAAAAAGGATAGAGCTTTCCTTGGAAACTAAAGGAGAAATGGTGTCTCCCCCGCTCCCACCATTGATCAGCTGTCAAAGTTTGCCAGTAAACTACAAAGGCCATTCACTTTGCAACCTGCCTTCAGGCTTCATAGTTCTGTATTTTTTGCCTAGGTTCAAAAAGACTAAGGAGGAAGCAAGGAAAGCATTCAGCAAGTGCAGCCAAACAACTCTGTGCCATGCCTCCATCCAGAATTGCCGCTCGCTGATACGTTCTGCGTAAACTCGAGAACCTCCTGTTGCCCCCTAAGAACAAAAATCTCACAAACACCTGGGGTTTTGTGTGTTGAACTTAATTGTTTCTTCCTTTTACAGACTTAGTTATTGCTTCCTTTTACTTGCTAACAACCCAATATGTCACTAGATTACCCAAGTTAATTCGAGGGAGAAATATATGTCTTACTGTACAATGAGAGCCATTGGAAACCCTAGAGCCTGTTGCTCAGTGTAGCTGAAATTTTGCAGAGTGGACCTGGCATTATGGTCAGTGCTTTACAGCTACTATACAAGAAGAGAGAGAGGAAATGAAGAGAGAGAATAGATGTGCTGATTCACTTGCCTATATTATCTGTGTGTAAGATAGACGCACACAAACGTATCGGTGACTGTGTCCTTTGTTGAATTCAT